TTTCGGAAAGTCAGTGCTTGACTTATACAACAGCGACGAATTTGTGGAAATGACGGAGAAACTGCGCGTGTTGAAAGCTGTGAGAGACTATCAAATCGGATTGCCTATATCTTACGAGCAGTACATGCGCCTCACGCCTGAGCGGCTCATTGAACGCTTAGTGAACAGACATGAGTACCTTCTGGCGATCCGAATTTCTGAATACCTCGAACTTGCCGCCGACAAGATTTACGTTCATTGGGCGAGTCAAAAAGTCAAAGTTGCCACGGGAGATGACGAGGCCGTGTGTAAACTCATCGTCCAAAGATTAGATGGAAAGCCAGGCATATCGTTTGAGTTGATTGCTCAGACGGCTTACGACGAAGGGCGCGTGCAGCTCGCAACACAATTACTGAACCATGAACCGCGGGCCGGTAAGCAGGTTCCGCTACTATTGAATATGGAAGAGGATGAGATTGCCCTAGACAAGGCAATTGAGAGTGGGGACGTCGATCTAGTGAACTATGTCCTTCTACATCTTAAGACAAAGCTTCCTCTGGCGAGCTTTTTCCGAACAATCAACACTCGTCCTATGGCATCTGCTCTTGTGGAGACCAATGCCCGCTCACAGGACACAGAATTGCTCAAAGACTTGTTCTACCAGGATGACCGCCCGATTGACGGCTCGAACGTACTTCTTTCGGAGGCTCTGAACGAGACGGACTTGCCGCGGAAGACAGAAAAGCTCCACCTGGCATCCCGTCTATTGTCAGACTCGAAAGATCCTTCGGTAGTCCTGCAGCAGAAGCTACTGTCGGAGGCCTCACAGCTTTTAAAAGTGCAGGAAGCGTTGGACAAGGATCTTGCTGACAGGACCGAGTTTCTAGGTTTAAGCTTGAACGAAACGATATTTAGGTTAATCCGATCAGGCTACGGCAAAAGAGCACAGAAGCTCCAGAGTGAATTTAAGATGCCAGAGAAAACATTCTGGTGGTTAAGATTGAGAGCTCTAGTCGCTAAGCGAGACTGGGGCGAACTGGAAGATATCGGTAAAATCAAGAAATCCCCCATAGGGTGGGAGGTAAGACGAATTCACGACCCCACGTCCTTGAAGCATGCATATACTCACCAGACTCACAACAGCCTTTTTACAATGAAATCCTGGGAGCAGGGAACACGAAGCTCGCCTCAGTATTTGTCCCCAAGTGCACCAACCTGCCCGCAGAGGAAAAAGTGGAAATGTGGGTGAAGTGTGGGATGATTGCCAAAGCAGGCGAGGAAGCCTTCCGGGCAAAGAATCTGAATGCCCTTGAACTACTGCAGACACGGGCGTCCGGGCCAGCCGCCGCCGAGATCGACCGAATGATCAACCAGCTGAGGCCCAGGAAATAAAGATTTGGTGCAACCCCAAGACTTTCTCCTGCACAACTGGTTCAAGTGATCTCGTCATTCTCATCGTTGTCGGCATGCTGATCGGCGACCGGGTTCTGAACGGCAAAGCTCGCTTGCTTTGCAGGCTTGATTTTCTTAGCAGGGGCCGAGTCATCCATCATGGCGTCGTCGAGGTCATCGGCCTCATCGGCAAGAGTTTGGAACATCGTCTTTGACGCCTTGCGGTTCAGATCCTCCCATTCGCCCTAGATTTATTACATGTGTGAGATTGTGCGCAAGGAGCCAGGAACGATAGCTGAACACATACCCTACGAGCTTTGACAACTTTGGCTCGGTTGACACTTCGGGTGACTTTGTTCTCGAGCTGATCCATGACCGCTTCTGCTTTCTCCATTCCTTTCTGCTGCCTCGCGCGCTGCGCTTTAGTCAAGGGCTTCGACTTTGACTTCTTCTTTGAGACGCCAGCATTTGCTCGATCGGCCAGGATGGATTCACGCTGGACTGTGGTTTCTTCCGCCCGAGGGAGGGTGGTCAACGACTTATCGAGATCGAGACTGGGAGAAGCTGCCCGGCGGGCAGCACGGGAATGTTTCGACTGGGCTGTAGTAATGCGATAACGTTAGAAATGAACTGTAACTTTTCCGAAGTGCTAGAAGCGCAGCGCAGCGCAACAAGTAATATACGTACGTCTCGACTTTGCCATGGTGCACACAGCAGAAAATACCAAGTGAGCCCGAGCGATGGGAATAAATTGTTGTGGAGACAAGACGGAGACTTTCTTTCCTATCGATAAAACCTTTTCCGGCTGGCGATAGTGACCCAACGCGTATTCGGCCTTGCGGCCTGGCTTGTTGTTCGGCCGCCATCCATTCTGCTGGCACTTACTGACTGACTGGCTTTTTGTCTTCGCATCAGACCATCCTACCTGTCTTTACCTTTGGCTCTGCTTGCCTTTACTGCTTACTGCGATATGCTTATAGCTCGGTCCCCATGCCGCAGCTTTTAACTTTCTCTCATCAGCCATGAACGCTCGCAGAGAGGGGATTGACTTCTCCACTCAGAGACCCTTCAGCAGCGTGCATTACAGCAACTATGACACCGCTTTTCAGCATCTGCAAGGCCACTCTAACTTCACAGCCGGCGTACTAGTAACCATCTTATCCGTATACTGTATCTTCAACTATTTCGGCTTCATTCCCTTTTCGCTGGCCCGTTTCGCGTGGGATTTGACCGTCCGCTTGACCCCGTTACGACTGGTCGCCGCCCTCGACTCCACGAGACCCGACCCAGAGGACTCCTCCTCGTCGACGTCGATGAGCTTCGAAGCGAAGAGCGAAGCGATGAGACGAATTCTCGGGCTCGATAATGGATTCCTTTCCGCCCTCCTGCCTCGCGCGTCGACCTTCTCGGGCTTGAGCACGTCGCTCCTGAGCGGCAGGGACAACTTCCCACCCGGTCTAGGCAACTGGGACAACTCGTGCTACCAGAACAGCATCATCCAGGGGCTGGCATCCCTCCACTCGCTGGAGGACTTTCTGGACAGGAACCTCGAGCGACTGGGCCAGCGGACCTCGGTTTCCACCCACCAGGCCCTCAAGGAGATCATCGAGCGGCTGAACAGTGCGGAAAGCTACGGACAGCGGCTCTGGACGCCGCCGGATTTGAAGTCTATGAGCAGCTGGCAGCAGCAGGATGCGCAGGAATACTTTGCGAAGGTGGTGGATCAGTTGGACCTCGAGGTGCGGCAAGCGATGCGCCGGCAGACGCGCAACCTCGGCCTGAAAATGGCTGGGCCGCAGGAACATGTCATCGGCACTGGGGATCGAGGGTCGGTTCAGGCGGATCACGCTGTGGATCTGCGGTCGGCCGCGGAGTCCCAGCTCGTGGGAAACCCGTTGGAGGGCCTTCTCGCGCAGCGAGTCGGTTGTATTCAATGCGGGTGGACGGAGGGCCTGTCTTTGATTCCGTTCAACTGCTTGACGGTGCCTCTTGGGCCCAAGTTCGAGTACGACATCCGGGAGTGTCTTCATCAGTATATGCATTTGGAACCAATCGAGGGGGTAGAGTGCGCCAAATGTACCTTGCTGCGCACACGGAGTCAGTTGTTGAATTTGCTGTCCCAGATTGAGGAGGAAAAGGATACCCCGCCGACGAGTTCTGAGTCCCAGACGGTTTCGAATGCTCTCAGGCAGTCGGCCCGGGAGCGTCTGCGAGCCGTGGATGAGGTCCTCGAGGAGGAAGATTTCGCGGAGAAGACGTTGTCAGAGAAATGCCACATCCCTTCGAAGAGCCGGGTATCGACGACCAAGTCACGCCAGGCCGTGATTGCCCGACCTCCTAAGTGTCTGGCTGTTCACGTCAACCGCAGCATGTTTGATGAAATGACAGGGATGCTGCAAAAGAACTATGCTGCCGTCAAGTTCCCGAGGACCATGGACCTGAATGAATGGTGTCTGGGAGGATTGGCCCAAGATCCAGCCCACAAGGACATAGAGCAATGGGGAACTGACCCTAGAATCTCGATGCTGTCGCGGGGTCGCGGTGACGATTCCTCGAGTCGACTTTACGAGCTGCGAGCCGTGGTCACGCATTATGGTCGCCACGAGAATGGTCACTACATCTGCTATCGCAAGTACCCGACAGAGGTTTTCCCGGCTCACGTACCGGAAGCCGTTCTCGAAGCGGACGGCGACAAGGAGAAACCCGAGCGATGGTACCGACTCAGCGACGAGGACGTGCAAATGGTCAGCGAAGCGAGCGTCATGTCCCAAGGTGGTGCCTTCATGCTGTTCTACGAGGCAGTGGAGCCGAGCTCGACTGGGAGCGCGGACACGGACGAGCTGGCCTCGCACGAAGGCGACATCTCGCCGTCGTCGATATTCAGCCGGCCGCCGTCTGACAGCATGTCGGCTACGTCAACCACGGGGGACTCTGTCTCGGACAAGTCGCAAGCGACGAGCGTCACGGCTTCGCTGCCGGTCGAATCTCTTGGCGAGAAATCTCCGTTGGGGTCGGCGGTGGATTAATGGATCCATTCTGCTTGACACCCGAACCTATGTATATCAGCGTTTTGTGATACCCCCTCATGTGCACAACTCATTCCCACGGCGTTTGATTTCCTGTCTCTATTGGAAAATTTCCTTTCTCGTTCTTCTCTTATTGGACCGTGCTTCAGCTGCATGATCTGTACAACAATGCTTGTGTTTTAGGAGGCCGGTGGGCGATTAGGGGGCTCGAAGATTATTATATCCATCCCTTGCTTGACACGGACTAAGCATGCTAGATCTAATGATATGTTCGCATGGCATTAATCTTGCACCTTTGCCATCATAAATCCAACAACTTTGTACAATGTCGTAACAACCCCCAACCCACGCGATGCCGACGATATGCTGTAAATACAGTACTATACCTCGCTACCCATTTTGAACCACCAACGCCCGCTATAGCCAATGTACTGTAGTCCAAAGTGATGACTCTTACCTCCCGCCCTTTACCCAAAGTTAACGCCACATAACATCATCATCATCATCATCATCATCATCAAAAAAAGTCACGATCGCTGAAAACCCAGCCACCGCCACCAAGAAACCAACACCATCATCCCACACTTGCAAACGCCGGGGCGCTCAAAAGACCCCCGCGCGCTGCATCACCTCCCGAAACTGGCCCAAGGTCACCCCCGCCGCCACCCCGGCGCCCCCGTTCGCCTCGAGGATCATATCCCGCAGCAACTGATCATCCAGGTTCCCGTCCTCCTTGAGCTCGCGCGCGATCCGCCGCAGATGGTGCAGGGTGATGATGCTACCGGATGCCGGGCCTGGGCCTGGGCCTGGGCCTGCACCTGCGCCGCTCCCGCGCGTGAAGAGCCGGAACGCCGCATCGACCTCGGCGGCCATGGCCTCGTCGGACCGGGAGCGGAGCTTCGCGGCGGCGACGGTCAGAAATGGTTCGTAGGGGACGTAGCCGGTGTCGGTGGGGTCGAGGGCGGAGAGGATGGGCGGGAGTTCAGTGGTGGTGGGGGGGAGGCCTAGTGCTCTTTGGTTTTTTCTGGGTGGTTAGTTGACTGAAAGCCAACGTGAGGAGGAGGTTGAGGGGGTGTGTGTGTGTGTGTGAAGTATACTGGAGGGGTGGGTGCTCCCCGGAATCGAAATCCGGAGGGTAGAGTCCGGTATGGTATGTACATACGAAAGTGCTTTCTTGACATCTGCCACCGGGATCACCCCTTCCTTCTCGTCGGGAAACTCGTCGACTTCGTCGTCGACAACAAACAGGTGGAAAACTTCTTTGATCTCGCTTTCTTCGGCGGCGGTGATGTCGTTCTCCTTGGCGAGCTTGGATTGTCGCGCGCGTTTCGGGGCGGTTGTAGTGGGTGGTGGGGGGCCGCGTTTTCGGGCTTTGGGAGGCTGGTTGGGGTGTTCATGATGTTAGGGATTGGTTTTGGGGGCGGTAGTTGGGTTAGGAGAGTACGTTACCATGTTGGAGGAGTTGAGGAGATGGGAAGATGAGGAGATCTGGAGATCTGGAGATGATGTCAATGTCAATGTCAAAAGAAATGCCATGGGCGCGGGGGAGCTGGTGATTGGTGATTGGTGGAGGTGTTGGCGGGCAGCCACGGAGACTCGAGATTCGAGACCCTTGCGGCCTTGCTTCAATTCTCTCCCATGAACACTGGCATAAATTCATACTAACCAAGTAAGCGACGACGATTTGGTTTCCTTGACTACGCTGTAAGTCTCCACCTGAGGATCTTCATCCGGAGTCTATCGTCTATTCCATCGTCTTCGAGAATCTTTCCCTAGTCCCCTTCCATCTCGTGACTGCCTGCGGCTGACGTAAACGCAAGGATGCCTGCTCGGATCTACACGCTTTCAAAAAGAACAGAGCAGAACGAACAACCAGCACCATTCACAGAGTCCTGTCTACCAGTCCACTCATCATGGATGTTGAGCTGTACGTCTATGACCTCTCCAAGGTGGTTCTATTGATTCTGAGTCTTGGTACTGTGCACAATACTGACTGGTTCTCCCACAGGGTCTTGCGCGATTGGTAAGTCATGTCGCTCAGCAGCACTTGCATCGTGTCTAATGCAAGCATCTCCCCAGTATTCCATGCCCTTGACCGGCACCCAAATCGATGCCATCTACCACACCTCGCTGGTCCTCAATGGGATCGAGTACTACTTCGGCCAAGGCATCCAGACGGCTGTCCCCGGTAGCACACACCATGGACAACCGATGGAGAAGCTGCATCTGGGTCAAACGGAGCTCCCGCTGGATGTAATTGAAGAATACATTCAGTCCATGGCAGAAATCTATACGCCCGAGGTGCGTTGCGTGTGTGTAATGCACGAAGATCAACAGCTAACCCCCTTTTTCAGTCCTACGATCTCTTCCTGCATAATTGCAACAACTTCACCCAAGACTTGGCCATGTTTCTGCTCGGGAAGGGCATCCCGGAACACATCCAAAACCTCCCGCAGACCTTTCTGAGCACTCCCTTTGGGCAGATGATGAAGCCACAGATTGAGATGGCCCTGCGTGGTGTCACTCAAGGCACTGGCACAGACGGTGCTCAAGCGCCGCCCGCCTCCAGACCAGCAGCAGCAGCAGCAGCAGCAGCAGCAGCAGCAGCGACCCCGGCCCAACAACCCTCCTCGCCGCCGGTTAGCCAGGGCGTGGTCCGAATGGCAAGCAGCCTTGCCCAGCTGGAGCAGCACCTCACCGCCGCCTCCCAATCATGCGCTGTCATCTTCTTTACCTCCGCAACCTGTCCGCCCTGCAGGATGGTCTATCCCATGTACGACGAATTGGCCGAGGAGGCCGGGGACCGCGCCATCCTCATCAAAGTCGACATCAGCACGGCGAGGGACGTCAGCACGAAATACCGCGTGCGCGCCACGCCCACCTTCATGACCTTCCTCAAGGGCCAGAAGGTCGACGAGTGGTCCGGCGCCAACCCGGCGCAGCTGCGCGGCAACGTGCGCCTGCTGCTGGAGATGGCCACCCCGACGCACCGTCACCGCCAGCTCCATCTCCCCAGCTTCCAGCGTCACCTCCCCAACTACGTCACCTACAAGAAGATCCCTCCACTCGACAAGCTCCGGCAGAAGCTCCACCCCCACACCGACGACTCCACGCTGACCTCCATCCTCGACTTCATCCAGCGACGCTTCATCACCACCAGCCCTGACTCTACTGGTGCCGCCGCCGCCGCCGACGTCGCCCTACCCGCATCCCTCCCAACCTTTGGCCCCTACCTCCAAACCACGTTAGGCACCCTCACCCCGGAGAACCAATTCGCCCTGGTCGACCTCGTCCGACTCCTCTTTATCGATCCCAGGGTATCCGGCTGGTTCGCCGCCGAAGACCCGCATCACGAGCTCCTGCGCACGCTGCTGTCTTCGACCAACACCGCCGCCGCCACAACCACAATCACAACCCCCTACCCCCTCCGTATCACCCTCTGCCAACTCGCCTGCAACCTCTTCACCACCTCCCTCTACCCGGACCACTTCTTACCCACCTCCCCAAACAATGACCCGCAACTCCTCCCCCTCCTCCTCAACCTAACGACCACCTCCCTTCTCGACCCGCACCCGAACCTCCGCATCGTCGCCGCCTCCTTCGCCTACAACCTGGCCGCGCACAACCACAACGCCCGCTTCGCCGGGCGGCCCGACCCCCTCCCCACGGAGATGCAGGTCGAGCTCGTCGCCTCGCTGGTCGAGGCCCTCGACCGGGAGACCCAGAGCCGCGAGGCGGTGCACGGGCTCCTCTTCGCGCTGGGGCTGCTGGTGTATGAGGCGCCCGAGGACGGGGAGGTCGTCGATCTCTGCAAGGCGATGGGCGTGCACGAGATGATCGTGGCGAAGAAGGGGATCCCCGCGCTCCAGGGCGAGGAGGCGTTGCTTCGGGAGGTCGGGGAGGTGTTGCTGGGACGGGGGATGTAGGGTTCTTTCTCTCTCTATTATGCTCTGTATTAGACCATCTCCTTTCCTTGATCATTGCCATTGTTGCGTGTTTGGTGCTTGAAGGGAGGGATGGAGGGATGACTTGGACACACTGAGTTAGCGACGTGATGGGTCAGTTGCGGTGAACGATTCACTATTAGAGTCGCCCTACTTGGGTTTCATCTCCATCTCACCCCGGTACTGTATACAGTCCTGCATTCTGCATTTCCAGATAGCGACACAGCTCTCCCCCGCGATGCCTCGATAATCAGCAGCGAGAGAGCGAGCATCCCTTGCTTGCGAAGATAGGCTCCTACAACTAGAAAAAGACGAGGTTGGGTGGGATCACTCGTTATCTTACTTTGAATCTTAAATCTGCCAGTGATAATTCGGGAGCGAAAGTGATAAATATCATGTAATTCTTCATTTCTTATCCAGTTGCATCCTGGGTCTGCTATCCTAAGTCCTATCCAGCAAAGCAAAGCAAAGCATCATTAATCGCTATGGTATGGTTCGCCGAGCTATGCAGTTTCAAGCAAAGTAACGCTGGAGCTGTTCAGTGTAACACGCTCGGGGGTATGGGGCAAGAACATTGATAACAAAAAAAAAAAAAGAAAAGAAAAAGTAAGAAAGAGGCATACATACATGACGGGTATCTAATCATCCGACGGACGCTTGAACTAAAGACGCTTGTGGGCAGATGATAAAAACAAAAAACATAAAAACCACAAATCAGGTAATCCAGCTGATGGTGAGGAAGTAGCGCTTCTAATCCCGAAAATAGTAAACGTGGAATATTGAGAGGAAAAGGGCCCATGGGTATAAGCGGGAAAACATAAAGAAAAACAAAAACAAAAAACATGATTATGAGGTAAGAAAGACACCGCCAACACCATCGCGACAACGCATAGAAAATGAAACAATAGAGAAGGTGGTAGTGGTGGTGGTGTGTGGTAAAGGTAAATCTGGTAGATAGGGAAATGCCGAATAAAATCGAGGAATGCGCGGCACCGATCGTTATCTCGCCTCATCGCATAGTCGTCTGGGACTGAAGTCCGCAAGTCCGAGTAGTGTATCAAAGCGCATGCCAGTCAGTTCTCAATGAATGAGTCACCTCACTCGATCAAGGCAAGGTAGGTAATGCGATCAGAGCGTGTCCCTGACAATGGCGGTGAGATCGTGCGGGTTGATAGGCTCAGCCAGCAGTGCAAAGCCCTGTCCGGCGTGCATGGGGGGGGGGGGGAGCGGTGGTTTAGGGTGTGCGAGCCTTCGGGGGAGTACGGGCAATAAAAGAAGTAACGAAGGAGGGGTTGCGGTTGCTTTTGATTTTCGAATTCAATCAAATGCGCCGACAGCGAAGGGGAAATTAGATAATCAGGCAGCCAGCGCCCGGGCACCAAATCAGACTGCGTGGTTGGAAACTCCGGGCTCCAGGCTGTCAATTCCGCCCGCCGGCTACGGCGCGTAACCCCAGGCTCGCGCACGTGCGGCTCTCACTGTCGTCATCGTCATCTTCGCCCTGTTTCCGGAGGATGGGAAATCCCCCGTTCGAGAATAATCGGATGCAGCGCGCCTTGTGATGCTCAGACGCCTGAACTTCTTTGTGACTGGTTGAAAGGGAGAGAAAAGAGCCTGATCATCTGGCCGAAATCCAGATACAGAGGAGAAGGCGAAGAAAAAGAAAGTCGAAAAGCAAAAAAAAAAAAAGTAATTAAGAGGGTGTCGAAGAAAAAGAAAAAGACCCGGATGCGAATCGCTGATCGCATATGATAGAGCCCAATAAGTGCAGATAGATCGGCGCTGATCATGCGACAGCCCTAATCTCCGCCAAAACAGACCGTGGGGGGGTATCGAGAGTGAAACATGCACAAGAACGCTGAATATGAGATTGATGTTACAGACAAGGACCCGGCGGGCACCTTCTTCCGGTCTCAGACCCGGCAAATAGTTGCCTTGGTCCCAGAGGTAGTGCGTCTTTTCCGCTCGGGAACAGCCTTGCGTTTCTTGTTGCGTTTGGCGTTCTCGCGCTCGGTGGCTGCCATTTGGGCTACACGCATCGCCTGCTGGGCTCGGGCATGTGCTTGTACTTGGGCCAGGAAACGCGCGCGCTGAGCATCCTCATCGGCTGCGGCGCGGAGCATCTGGATCTGCTGCTCGGTCGTCAGGTCCATGGCGGGATCCTGTGCTGCGGACTCCTCGTCGATGGCGCTGTCCGAAGGCACATCGGAACCAGTGGGGAAGAGATCCTCATCTGACAGGTAGGCGCTGGCGGTCGAACCCTCGGAATCGGCACTTAGAAGCGATGGTCGGTTTGGCCAGGAGGGGAAAGCACACGAGTTATTCAGTCCATAGCTGCTGGAGAAGGAGCACTTGCGGGGAGTGATGTCGAGCAGAGAGTCACTGGGAGACGGCGGCGGTGGAGGCGGCAACGAGCTCGGCGAGCAGGAGCTGCCATAGCTGAAGCTGAAGGAAACCGTCTGGGTGCTGGTCGTGGCCTCGCTCAAGGAGGAGCGGACACTCGACTGGTTTTGACTCCAAGGAAGTAGGGGATACATGGCTGTGAGTTGTGTACTGATCTGCGAATGGAAGATCGAATAGGTGAGGTGATGAGCTCGGTCGCAGAGAGATATTCAGAGCGTGTTGTGTTTGTTTGTGTGTGTGTTGTTGTTGTGTTGATAGAGTGGAGAGTGGCGAAGAGGAAGGTGGGAGATGAGAGGAGTAGATATAGAATAGGGATGTGTGGAGTATGCGAAGATGATCGACCAAGACCTTGTGGAGGAGGAGGAGCTGGGGAAGTAAATAAAGCTTGGAGGGAGGGGGGATCAACGATCACCTCCGTCAAGTTAAGTTGGGAGCAAATGGCGGAGAGGAGAGGAGAGTTCGAGGTGAGGTGAAGGTGTATGAAGTCAAAGTACTTGTATAAGAAGAAAGAAGCAGGGCCAGATCGATCGGGGGTAAGAGGCGTCTTTGGGTCTGGACTCCCTTGCATCTCCCAACAGATAAGGCGGGGGGAGGGAGGGGGGGGTTGGCAGCGATGGATCTTCTTTTTTTTTTATTCCTTTTATTTTATTTTATCTTATTGTCTTTTAATTTTTAGATTAAAAGCAAAAAAATAAAATAAAATAAAAGGCACAATAAAAAAAAGACGGGGTCAAAAAAAGAAATGACCCAAAGAAGAAATATTCAGGGAAAAAAAAAAAAGGGCCCCACGGGATCAGTTCGCACCAAACAAATGCGTCCAGCGACCAGTTTGGAATTTTCCGCCAGCTGCTGCAAGTCAAGCGCGGCGATCAGGCGGAGGGAGACAGGGAGAAGACGCAGCAGAAGGAGAAGAAGGAGTCCCAGAAGTACCGGAATCGCGATCTTCACGCGTCGTGTTGTTGATATTCCAAATGGACGGATCCTGACGTCGTAACTGGTGTATACATTGATTTCCCTCTTGGAAAGAGCAACAAAAGTACATTGGATAAATAATGAAGGTCTTCGCGATGAATCGTTTGCAGGTGGACTCGATCAATCTGACAGCCGACCCTGGTCAATTGCGGCGTGGGATCTATCACTTTTTCCTTTTTGCATTTCATTTTTCCAGACCGTGAGCACGCTTTTTTCGGGGGACGGATTTATTTATATACTAAAGCTTTTTTTCCCTCTCCTCTTCTTACGACGGGCCCGGGGAAGATCGGATCGGATTCCAGGCCGTGGGGGGATGAAGTGGAAGAAAGTCAACTGTCAGAGAAGAATAACTAATGAGTCAAAGGTGCAACTCTTTAGATTACTTACCGATGGGGCTTTCCGGATTTACTCATGGATCGTGATTTTGCCGAAAATGTATTTTCTTTATTTCATTTTATTCTTAATTTAGTTTTATTCCATTCGATCTGCTCTTAACCGGTACTTCACTGCTCCGTACTGTACAGTACATCTCCCCTCATGGACTTATTTTCTCCGCCACCTCGAAAATAAAGCTGACAGTTCACACAACACGAGTCCAGCGAACAGACAAGAGTACTGTACCGACCAGCAATGATGCTCTCGCACAGCTGACGGCATCGCGAGATCAGAAACATCGTCAGGACCCAGGACTGACAATCGACAGAGGGGCCCCCTCTACATTTCAGCCCATGTTTCAGAGCTCAGGGGGGGTGGAAGAGAACCGAAGGAGAGCTGATCCAGAATTCCTACCCAATGGACCCGTAGTAGAAATGATGGTGGTCTCACTCCGACCCCATCAGCAGTAGTTAGCATCACCATCGCCATCACCACACTGACCCTCTCGACAACGTAAGTACCGTACCTACTTTTACATCTCGGGTCCCGCGATAACCTCAATCAGGGGGTCGAACGGCCAACCTTGGTGGTTTGGTTTGGCGGTTTGGGTTGTCGTGCATCGCAACGGGATCTTGCGGTCTATTTGTCGGTGTGTGAAGGATGCCCAGCTGTTCATTCAAGCTTCACGCTCCAAGCTCCAAAGCCCTCTCTTTCATGCCTAGACTACCTCTTGCTTTGACTACTAAACACTGCAGCTCAAACAAAAAGACGCCTCGTCTCGTCTGGTTGCCGGCGCCCTCTCAACCCCTATCCCCTGTGCTGTCGATCACATTAATCGGCCTCAAGGTTTCACCGCTCCTAATGTTTGGCATCCACATTTGGAGGTTGGTTGATGTGCAGCATGGGGGATGGGAAGGAGAAGGGGGGATAAGAGACATACATCTCCGCCCGCTGTAAGTCAGGATGGGGGATGTACTCAGATGTATGTATGTACATCTGTTGAGTGGGGAAAGGATGGAAGGGAAGTGGGTAGAGCGTTTACTTTTGTGGCACCTTGAGGCTTGAGCATCCCAGGAAGTTTTCAAACGTGTTTAGGTTCGGGAGAAATTGACTGGTGGTTGAGGTATAACAACAACAACACACAGCGTGCATGATCCGTCCAGATGGCGATGCGATCGAGTCTTTCCAGAGGCTCTTCCATCTGGCGGTCAGTCAGGCAAACATTGGTTTGTCTGTTGGTGGTGGTATTTTTGTCGCTTTGTCGCTTTGCTGCTTTGTCCACGGCAAGGACAAACACGACTCGAGAATCAACTCGTGCGCTGATCGCGAGAAACGTGAAAAAGAGAAAAAAAAAAAAGATAATCTCTAGCAGAGATAGGAGTCTAGCCCTTGGTAGTGGTGGGGATTAAGGAAGAGAGACTCGGTCCTCCCCAAATGCGCGGTATCCGCCCGGCTATTTCCTTAAGCCCTGCTTATGTGGTGTGCCTCCCTCCTTACAGTAGTTAGTCCGGTCGTCCCCTGGTTGTATTGTATATCCAACAAACACATAATCAGCGGGCAGTGAGTTAGCAGTTGATACGGCAATGAAGATATCATGGAGGGGTGGTCTCGACCATGGAACCCTGGGGTACACGAACCAGAAGGCTTTACCCGCTGTCAATGGACATTAGTTTGATGTATTGTCTGGTAGTCTGGCACGAACCGACGGGGAGCCAGAACAAAGAAAGTTCTGGATACCCGTTCCCCAGTTTAGTGACTGACCCACCAGCCATCATGGATTCATGATGGCTGCCCAGTTGTGGAGTAATGACTAACATCCACATCCACGTACTCTTGTGCCTGACTTTGTTCCCCCCTTTTACTATTACTATAGTCTAGGAGGCCCGCAGGAAATTGAACAGTGCTCAATTGTTTCACATCATCTTGGAACAATGGTCACACTAAACATCAAACCAACATGAACTGACAACACTCTCCCATCTGTGAGCTTACTATGCCTGCCATACCGACCAGACCCTGCGCAACGCTCGGCTATCTGCATCCAAGCATTACCTGCTTGTCCTCTGCCACCCCCAAAATATGCGGATTATACCAGCGGACCGCCCCCCCCAATCCTCCCGTCCAAGGCTGTTTCCCCCGGGGCTGATTGATTCTACTGAGTACTACCATCTTCACATGAGTTCGGGGCCAGAGGCGGAGCCAGGCTCACTTCTCCACGGACCACCACCACCCCTCGACTGGGTCCTCCGGTTCAGCCACGAGCAATTTCTACATTAGCCAGCCTGCCAACTTTGCGAATGAACAGTATAATTTCCGTGCGGAGGACCGGCGCGGAATAGCGCTCCCAGATGCGAATTTTGCCGTGTGACATTGCCGGGGGAAGGGGAGGGCAGGATCAAATCCCAGCGTGTGGCTAATTACAGATTGATTACGGAGTAGAGAATTCAATCCTTTTAGCCCAGACCCGACCGACCGACCGACTAGCCGACCGTTTGGAAAAGAAAAAAAGAGTTTTAGAAATGCGCGGTTAATCATCGTCAAGTTAACTCGGGAGTTGACTCCCTCCCCCCCCCCCTGGTAGTTACTGTACAGTACTCCGGTAAATCCAGACTAAGCCTACGGGAGTGCGGGTTGAACCAGGGCCAGTCTCACACTTTTTAGGCGTAGGCGGTTAGACGGGTATTTGGCGGCACGCGGAGACGGATGGGATGGGTGTTGGTTTATCCCTCCTCGCTCCCCTTCCCTTTGTCTGTGGGTGCCCCGGTGCCGGGGATGATGCGATTGAGACCTTTGGAGAAGCGTGGGAAGTCTTTTGTTTCAGGTGATTGTTGTGGAATCCTAAGGGGTTTGGTTCGGTCGCATGGTTCGATTTGCTTTGTTATTGATAGTTTGATATTGCTTTGATGGATGATGCATCAATCCTGAGTGAGAGGTTCAATCCACTGTGACCAGTAGATAGTCGAGCCCAGATATATACATCTATCGTCCTCGACTAAGGACACGATCAAGGTCGAATCCAGCACAGTGCAGCAGCAACGATCGAATCTAGATTGCTTCGCATATGTACCCCTGGACAAAAGGACACCCCTCTGACCAGTCGCTTGATCTCTAGGGCTCCCCGGCTTCAGATTGCCGGCATGTCGGGGATGAAGGACCAGGAAGAAGCAAACCAGCACCAAAGTACGGAGCTGAACACCACACTACTACAGTACAACAACCCCAAATTCCAGTCATTGACTGAAGGCGCAGTACCTGATTTCTTTGTGATGATAGACTAACCGATCGGGTGGTTTTCTTTCATGGACAAGACCAAATGTGCCAGTGGCTGGCTATCACAGTCCAACTATTCGACGCCATCACCACCATCTCTTTCAAGATGAATCTTGTCATGTGAGCCTTGACTGGCAGGAACAGTAAAAGCGGCGCCACAGTGAAGTTACCTCCAGCCTCGGCAAAGACACGAAAACACCTGACTTCGGTCGATTTTGTTTTAGCTTTTCTGTTTTGTTTTCTTTTGAGCCTGACCGACCGGGTAAAGGGTTAAAAGCACCCGCAGACGGCTCTAGACTCTCGGGGTTAATTTCCCCGGAGCATAAATCCCCAATTTCCTCCAGTTACATGTCATGGACTCATGGACACAGAAAGAGGGCTCGGATAGCTCTCGATCACGAATCGTGTCAACTCTAATCCCAATCAATCAGTCAGTCATTGAATCGGTGATTGCTCAAGGGGAGAAAAGCCTAGGTAAGGTAAACCGCAGTCAAAGTACGGAGTTAGAAAAGCACTTGCCGGCGGAAGCAACAACTCTTACCCCCCCCCCGGCGGATGGGCGGAAACGCCTCCCGGCGATCGAACCGCTGCATCGGATTGCCTGCCCCACAGACACACACACACATCCTTTTCCCCTTTTCCAGTTCAGCTCCCTCTTTTTCCCCCTTCGATCCATTTTACCACGCTCGGGTACAGGGATCGTCGTCGCGTTCCCGATTCGGTAATATTATGAGCTCCCCTCCGCCCTACCTATCCAGCGTCTATTTGAAAGAAAAATAAACAAAACTTCGGGTCTGAGACTGATCAACGTTTGACCGGCGGGGGAAAAAGTACAATAGGACTGGTCGACGGGTAGACCCGCGGAACAGCGGCTACAGTTTCCCGTCCCTGGGAGCCCGGGGGAGCACTGAACGCAGATGCGTGTCTGTTTCTAAGGGGGTTTGGGGCTTCTCCTTCCGCCCTTTTGCCTGCCTACAGTGTGATCACCGTCGTCATGAGTTCGTGGATGGGGTTACGTCAAGGGAGTGAACGGGAGGAAAGAAGGAAGAGAGGGATGCGACGTCTGTGGCTTGCAGGAGGGGAGGTCTAGCTTGAATCAGTTGTCATGCGGTCGACAGATCGATCCTCAATAAGGATGAGAGAGCATCTCTGTTTATGAGTACGGCTGTGACATTCTACCCCATACCTTTCATGAGGTATATGGCTGGTTCAATAATGCTTGATGACGACTTCCGCTGTCCATTCCACTGTGGGATGCACATTCCAACCCCGATGGATTACCGTCTCCTGCTTTACTCATGCACTGCATACACACGCCCACCGCCCACTGATTAAGGACTGTGTGCATATACAATGGCTGTATGTATGTATGTACTGTACCGTATCTATTTTATGCACATGTACAGTAAGCACGCACAGGTATGCGGCCTATCCGCTAGGTACAGTACTCCGTACTTGATCTGTCGATCGGTGTGTGAACGCTCACTCAATTAAGTACGAGCGAGGGGATCAAAGTACACCAGACTCGTTGCTGCCAGATGCCACCCAGCACACCGACCGGTTAATTGGTACAGTGCATGATACATCTCCACTCTAGTACATCCGCGTTCTGCAAGCCCCTCGACATTCCAGACCTTCTGGTGTTTCCCTCCCCGAGTCCGAATGGGTTTCCTCACTGGCAACTCCAGCGATCTAATTTTTCCCCAATCGGTTCGATCCATCGCTCGAAATTAATCGATTGGTCGGTGGGACCGGCTCATCGTTTCCAAGTTCCTCATCCCATCATCCCGGATAACTACCCCTCCTGCAGCTTGTCCGCGCTTCCCCCCGTCCATTCCCGTCCACTCATCCACACCATCCACACCTCTTCATGCAAGGCATGCCCCTCCAGGCTTACGTGGTGAAGAATTGGGCCACCTCCAGATGGGAAGCAGCCATGAGCGGTGGGAAAAAGGTACCGACCCCAGGAACGAGGGATGAGGGCACAGCAGGGAGTACTGTACCGAATACCTCCTCCCAAGCAATGTCCACCACCCTGAGGACGTGTACACAGTACGGGGTACCTCCGTACTCCTCCCCCTTCCCTCCCCCGCTCTTCTCCCCTCCATCGCGCAAAGGCGGTGCGCCGTCTCTTCGGCAAAAAGTCGTTTGTTATTAGGTAGGAAAACAAGGTCCGGTCCTACTTTTCCCCTCTCTTCGAAGAGGCGGTGAATTCACCGCTTCATCGAGTATTGGCCCTGGTGGTGCCATGCTACAGTGTAGTACCGGGACTCCGTACTTGGGGATGATTGAGAACAGGCGGTAGGCTTGCCAATTTGTCAATCTATTCACGACAGATCGTGTGTTATCTTTAGTAACCGTGCGCTTCGACACTGACGGGGAGGTAGGTGATGCATCGTTTTCGCCCTGTCGTTTGGAGAACCTCCCTCGTTGCCTGACAGAGCTCGGGACCTTTGTTTGCCAGAGCTTTCCCGACCGGGGGAAGGAGAAGACACATCCATAGAATGCAGATGGAACATTGGGGGAAGAGGGATGGATTATGGGTACTGGATCGGGACTCCTCATGACGATTGTCGATGCACATCATATTTTACATACTTAGCAGTAACTTATTAGCTGTAGTGGCTAGTAAGCTAGCAGAGCTTCACCAGCCACCAGCCACAACCATGACCCCCATCCCGCCCACCCACGGCTTTGTCCGGAGGTTACGGATAGTTAGCACGGAGTAACTTACAGAGTACGGAGTGCGTACCCCACAGAAGTCCGTCCCTTTGGGACGACGCAGCATGGGTTGGAAGCACGCAGCACATACCACCCACCGGGGCACACGGAATTGAAATCGTATCTGAGTGGACACGGACCCAGGAATAGGGTATCAACTAGGCATTTTATCCCTCGCAGCGGATTCTGTTCCGCCGGGAAGGAGGTGGGGGGGCTCGAGATCCCCCTCCTGGGGCGCTCGCTCTTGGACCCAGCCCCGGTACTCGGGGCACCCAGCCCGACGGGGGGTGGAGTGGAGCGGTGGAGCGGTGGGGGTGGTGATCATGGACATGACCACTAGACTAACTCAAAGCCCCGTAAACAAAAGTATACTAGGTATGTGATCGCGCGGAGACAGCTTCCGCAGCGACGGTCGACCATCGAAATGTGGCGGCGGAATCATGGTACATATCATATCGTATCATCTCATATCTGCTTTTGCTTCTGCTTCTGCTTTAGCTTTATACGGGTCGCCTTTCCCCGATGTAGGAGCTGTACCAGTATAGCCCACGGGGCTCGTCCGAGCGCATGCCACCACCGCCCACATGAGTGGATTCAAGGTTCAATTCCCATTTCTGCTTTCCGGGATCGAGCTCCAACAAGTAAAATGAGGTATGTATGGTAGGCCTCCGCCCATCACCAACTCCACTCCCCCCACATACAGTCCAAAGGGAGAAGTGGCGCTGTATTGTGTGCAGAAAGTCCTCCCCCCTCTTAAAAAAGGAAGGAAGGGGATCCGACATCCGGGGTTGACTGGCGCATGGATGGACAGATGGATGTGGCTTGCGTTTCGCCCGTACTCTCTAATAGTGTATCGGGCGTTGCGTAGCTTGCAGTTGGTATGATTTGGAATATACGCTTGTCGAGTACAGTAGCCAGCCATATGGCTCCCTCAGCATTGATCTGCACCTATTGAACGGCTTGTAGATAAAAGGCCGGAAAACCGGTTTCTGTACATGCTGTACAGAAAGGATGGAAGACTATCGAAGTATGTATGTGCTTATGCAGGAAGTACTGTACATACCGTACGTCTGGTATTTATATGTATCTACGAAGATGGAAAGCTAAGCTGAGCTTGTCTTCAGCGCCACTAGCCACCGCCACAGTTGGTTTGCAGTGCATAACTATAGTACACTGCATACTCGTCCATAGTACGGAGAGTTATCTCGATGTATCCATTGTCCGAACTCAATAGACCGATGGCACTTGCATCTCGTGTCTGCTCCTACATACTCGTAAGTCGTACTCTGTTACCCAGTCACTCGGCTACTCCGAATGTTGGTAGCTCAGGCAGTAGCCCGCCCTGTTGTGTGTTGACGTCTGTTGATAAAGCTGACGCGGGGGCGGAGGAGCGGCTGAGCCCGAGACACCTATCGCCGAGGATTATGTGTAACACCCACCAAACCTTTGCCACAGTGGAAATCAAACCCCAGACCCGAATTGGGAAATAGGGAAGTGCGGCAGCTGAACAATGCTGTTTCTTATTGCGTACAGCGCCTTCTCCATGCGGACGACAACCGGGGATGGGCGGGTTGGACGGTTGGACGGTTGGACGATTGGACGGTATGATATAATCGTAACTGTGACTGTCACGGTAGGGTCATAAGTCAACTACCGTGGACGGGGGTGAGATCTCCTGTTTTGGTAACTCGTGCGGAAGGCGGATTGGTAGTGCAGGTGTCAGCCGACGGGAGGAGGGGTTGACTCTGGCTGTCGTCTATGAGTAACGTGGTTGAAGAGGTGAGTGAGGGAATGAATAAGGCTTAATGCTCCTATTCACTGATACCGGTATATCCCAGTCAACTCGGTTGAACACACTGCTCAGCAGGTGATTACCAATCTTTATGGTAATTGACTGAATACCCCAGATTATATGATTACCGGATTAGTGCTGTCCTGGGTGAAGCAGTGCGTGAGCCTGTTGTCCTACAGAGGCACCAACACAACCAAACACCCCGGACTGGACTGGGAGCCCCATCTGCAATTCCATGCGCATGCAACATCAGAGCCTAAGAGCCTCACCTGCTCCCCAATCATTACTAAGTAAGAAACCCGCGTTGCTCACCTTATCCGAAATTCCAACAACAACAACAACCTCCGAATCAAATCCATCGGTAACTAGTCGCTGCCACCCCCACCCCCACCTCACCCCAATTGATTGCTCAATATCCACAAGCAGAGAACAACCCCCGACCCTCACCGAAACATCTCCGATACTAGGATACACACAGCAACTACTCCGCAAATCAACCCCTCCGCAAAATCACCTGTCCCAGCAAATGGAACCAAGTCCCGGAGCCCACCTAAGACTAGGTACAGTAGTCTGCAAGCTACTTTAGACCCGATCTAGCATTTCCGAAGTAGAGTAGCGAAGTAGGCTATTAACCGAGAAACAAGCTCACTGAATGCACTGCGTACCGTTAGTAGCTTGAGGCAGAGGTAGAGTGGGAGAGCTCCGCGCGATTCTGATTGATGGAAGTATTTTGCCCCGTCGAGGGTAAGGAGTTTTTCCGTGGGTTAGAGTCCGGAATAAGCATTGTTTCACTGAAGAATGGGACCGGGTCTGCTGGGCCTACTGTTTAGTTTGTGGAGTATAGGATCGGGTTCTATTGATTATGTACGTGGTGTAGTATAAGTTACTCTAGTGGGAGTGTCAAATCATGTGTTGGGGTTCGGTAGTTGGTGCCGGGATGTTCCAACTGTACTGTAGTTTCGGATGTGTGGGTGAGTGAGTGGGCGTTTCCGAGATGGAGGGGGTGGCAACTTGACCCAAGAGTTGACTTCCTCGTCTATTTGCGTTGGATAGTAACTCGGTTAGATATTGATAAGTTGGACGGGGTGATGGCTCTTGTCGGAGTAGTCTGAGGATGGGGGTGGGTTGGTTTAGGTGGTAGGGCTGGTCATTCTCCTTGCTAAGCGTAGAAGGCAGTACAGCACTCGTGTAAGTTGGCAATGGAAGTATGTTTTGGTATGTACATACTCGTAGGAAACTGCAGCGGGGAACACGGTAGTGACCACAGTCGCCCCGCGCGGCTCATCACTGCAACCTCATTCCACCACCAAGCCCCAACCCCCAGAGTAAGCATGTAACCCACCAAGCAACAATAATAGAATTGAATGAAGATGACAGAAACAACAACAGCAACAGATTGCCAAGCCACGAAAGCAAGCATTTCCCCCCGGCATATACGAGACGATGTACAACATATACGGAGAACACCCCATCTGCCTGCCTGTCTGGCCTCAGCTTAGGTGAAGTATGATTATGAATAGCCGGGCTGCCGCACCGTATCGGGACTACGTTTCGTGGCTGTAGCCCCCGCGCTGGCGTGGGGGAAGACGTTGCTGACACAACGTTCGAGAATGATTCCACGCAGTAACCGGACCGGGTTGCCGGCTACAGGATCCAAGGATTCTATGAGCAAAATTGAGTAAGCAAGCCACGCACATTTTATTTATTTTGCGATAGGTGTGGGAGGGCGGACTTGGTACCGAATCCTTTGATCGGGGATAAATGGGTTTTCGATCGGGTATTCATCGCATTTTCATCACCTGTCGGTTAGCACGGAAGAATTGGGAAATGAGGATGGGGGCTCGGAGGGATGGCTGAAGGATTGATTGCGGAGGGGGCAAGTAGGGGGTTTTGGAGGAGGATGACTCAAGTTGGCGAGCCAGGATGTCCGAACATCAGAAGTATTATGGAGAACCGCTGTCTCCGCTACTCGGGCGACCACGTGTAGTTAGCATATGGCATATGTTGTTATCTGGTCGGGGTGCACGGTTCTGAACTTGGTTGGGATGTACCCATACCTACCGTTGTCCAAGCTTCTTTACCCGGGAGTAGTGAGTGGATGTAGAGACGCCGAGTCTCGATCGCAACCACCGGCAATATCACATCCAGCGACGAAACCCTTCGGAAACGGAACGGAGGAGCATCAACCACCCAGAAAATTAACACCTTAACAACAGCCACCATCACCTTTCTGAAATCCTCATTTCCCCGCCAATGAAACCGGACCACTGCAGCACGTACCTCGGCATTTCCCGCAACGGACAATATCCGGTCTCTGCTAATCCGGATAAACACACCACCACCAAACAGGCAATAACTATACTCAGCGACCAGCTTTCCGAAACATGGCTTCCAGAAGCTCTACGGCGATTCTCTCCGGTAAATTCTTATTTTTCTTGATGAGTCCCCCACCGAGGAAGTCCGCTGTCCGTCGGAGATCAGGTTCTCCTCATAGATAGCTGCCATCATTATCGGGTAATTACCCACCCCTCCATCCACCCTTCCACCCCACCCACCATAGCATAAACATCCACGTTAAATTAGTTCAGACTCAAGAACATAAAGAAAGGGAACTCGGCACGACCGGTTGCACCCCCGGAATCCCCTCTCTCGTCCGTTCCCTGTGCGCCGGCGGTTGACTTTCTTTGGCTGATCCGGTGTGGCGTTCGAGGAACTGGCGGTGAAAGTACCAACAGAGGAATGGTGATTTTGGATGTCGGTGACGCGTGCCACTTAGTTGAATAATAACCTGCGGTGTGGAGGGAGGGGGAATACCGGTACGTACTGTGTGAACCTAAAAGACGGGAACAACGTGTGGCCTGACTTACTTTATTTATTGCTAGAACTAGGCATTATTAAGCTTGTATCTGCCGTACTCTACACATCCTTACTGAGATGCTGTCGCTCGTGGGGTCTAGACCGCTGTCAGGATTTGGAGGAAGGCAGGTTTCCCGAGATGCTCATACTCCCACTGCACTGCAGAAGCATTTACTTTCCTGTTTGGGAAATCCTGACGCTAAACTGGAACTCCCGGGAAGTCAGCTGTGCCCTTTTTCTTTCTCGA